GTCTTTTCTTTTGTTTGGACTGCGGTCTGCACCTGCTGCTGCGCCGCTTCCTCGTCTGCTGCCGCTCTCTCCTGAGGCGGTTTTGCGAATAGAACCCTCAAAGGTCTAGAATCAAAGGGAAACCTCTTCTACTAGGAACAAGTGCATCGCTTCTAGTATCAATGGTTCTTGGTGCTTTGCTCTGCCTGGGCCATGCGGCGTTCCTTGAACATCTGCTTTATTGTCAATTCAGCCTGCTCCTTTATCACCCAAAAACCTCCAACTGCATCTGTATACTAGTAAGAAGAAGCTACTAGTAGCAAAGGGCATCGCTACTAGGAGTGTCCTCCTGGCCTTACTACTAGTAAGAAGAAGCTACTAGTGATTTAGTGATTTCTCCTCGGCCAACGCCTGCTGTGCGCGGCTGCGCACCTGATTCGTGTGCAAAGAAGAGGGCCAGGTTGGTCTTCAGGAAACCCTCATCTTCACACACTTCACACTTTACACGCTTCGTGTTGTTTCTTCCATTTTCTTCGACCCACAACACACTTTCATGAGCCGTTTCCACCTCCCGAATAGAAGACAAACGAATGTCATTGTCTTTGATTGTCCCCACATGGGAGCCCTTACTAAGTTGTTTTTTCCAACTTTTTTAAACAACATGATTCCATCCCCACCCTCGAAACGCTCCCGGGCACCGTGCCCCCACCTCGCGATTGGCGCGTTGCCAGTCAAGCTCCCTTTGAGCTCGTGCCTCCTGCTGGGCAGAGGCCTGCAGAAACTGGACCATGGGGACGAGTGGTTGTGGTGGATCACTTTCACCGGTTTTTCGTGATCATGTTATGACTCATAGGAGCAAGGACGCTACTAGGGGCTCCTGGCCTTGCTACTAGGAGCAAGGACACTAGTAATATATGATCTCACTCTCGCTTTCAACATCCTAGGGCCACCCCAAATGACATGGATGGGACATGCTGGGCATCCAAACAAATTATCACCACTGGTGCTGACTGCGGGCAATCTTCTCATGATGCTCTCGCTGTCGTACGATGCTTGCCAGCTTGCTGCAGGTGCATCTGGCATACTTGAACACTGCAGCTCCATTCTCTGAGCCAGGTTCGATTTGCATTTTGGCTAAATTTGCGCCTAACCCCCTTCGCTTTCGAGGTGTAGGATTTTCAACCCCGACTCCTTTCTATTCGATTACCGCCTCATCATTGGAGCCTACATGCAGAGCCTGTGGGGTATATGGAGTATCCTCCAGCATTGCAAAGCCTTGTCCCCTGCTGGCCTTCTTCAAACACCTGAAAGCAGATCTTCGGCTAACCAATCTATGCAGCTGGACTGACTCTGGGAACAGAAAAACAGTGCTGATTCGACCTAAATGGAGTCTCTAAGGTATGGCAGCTTGAAGACACCAGCTGACAAACTGCTCAACTTGGCAAAGCGATGTAACAAAAAAGCCTCTGCCCAAACGACACTTCTGCCAGAGATCTCCAGCCCGGACCCGACGACGGCAAGAACCGCTGCCGCTCCGCCTGGTTCTGGAGATGCTGGAGCTGCAGCTGCATGGAGTCCTCCGAAACCGGACGAGCTTCGGTTCGTCAGACCGTCAGACCTCCGTCAGACATCTCGCACTGGTGGCCGGTACAGGACACGTGTTCGTTTTGGATCGTACTTGATCCATGCGACTAGAAAGCAATCTCTTGGTCTTGGTCTCGTGACAAGAGGGGTCTAATTTGGCGAAGAAAAGGGCTTGCTCGATTAGGAGCAAAGGGCATCGCTACCAAGGAGCGATCGGACGCTACTAGGAACACAGGGCATCGCTACTGACCACTCGACGGACATTTCGGCTTCGGGTCCACTGACACATCGCTTGGCTTCGTGATCGCGGAGGAGAAACGAAGACTCAGAGCCACTCGCGACTCATCGACACGGCTTGGACTGGCTTGGCCGAACAGGCGTCCCGATCGGCCGAAAGGCACCGAAAGGCCTAAGACCGGGGTTCGGGTCCTTCGGCGAGACACGGCAGAGCTCTAAGCTCGGAAGATTTTGCGATTCTAACATCAATTCAGAAGAAAGATGAAGACAGTAATTAATTGACATCTTATGAGTTTTTTTGCTAGAAGATACATGTTCATTGGAGTTCTGATTCTTCTGCTACCGCGCTAGAACTTCATCCGTCACTTCGCTCCGTCCCCCCCAGGATGTGACTCTTCCGCTCCATCTCCGCGTCCGCGCTGCGGAACTCTGCGCGGAGGCCATCCGCCCAAGCCTGGCCAGTTCTCGACTCGGCCAAGCGCATTCTTCCGGTAGCGGGGTTTCAACACACCAACCCATTTTCACAGTCGCGGGGTAGAAAAGGTCACAAACGAGATCAAAAGAGCAACTGTTTGGGGTAGTCAGTACGCATGCATGGTTGCATGGGGCATTCGGATGGCTTCATTGGAGTGTTGGGTGGTCCTTGACTTTCGTCAAGATCGACCATATTGATACCCCAAAAAATCTGAATATGATAGCGATGGCCTCCAACCTACAAGCGATGGCCTCCACAGTACCTGAAACCTAGAACAGCAAATGAACCATGCGATGCCTCCATCCAAAGATCAGCCAGCCAACGCGGCTCGCGACGGTCCAGATTCTGAGACATGCTGGGACCCGACAGCCTTTGGTTGATGCTTTTGGGCACGAACAGTGCCGTTCCCTTGGACTCTGTTCCGAACCAAGCAGTTCCAAGTTGGAAGTGACACATGTGCCCTGGAGAAGGGAGAACCATCAGTGATTGCATGGTGATAGCCCTCCGGCTGTAGAGAGCTAAAGAGTGCATGAAGATCATGGGGCATCCGCCAGGCTGATCTGGTGGGCTCTCAGGTGACCTTTTTGGAGCTGTAAGTTGTCACTAGACACTTCTAGCCTAATAGCGATGGCCTTTGCTCCTAGTAGCTTCTAGCTACTAGTAGTAAGGCCAGGAGCGAGGAGCGCCCCTAGTGCCCTAGTAGCTTCTAGCATTGCACTGCCCTCCAGCTCTGGGTGCTGAGAGAAACGAATACCCCAAACAGCGCACGATTGCACCTGCATCTGGCTCAGCTCACTGCGCAGCCTGTGACCGAAGGGAACTGGTCCGCTGATCCGAACCCCAAGAAACACCGATATCATGATCAGCGGTTTGGCTGTTGTCAGATCGATAAAGTAAACCAAAACATTCTTTTTGCACCAAAAAAGTGGATATGTCTCTAGGAGCAAGGACGCTACTAGGGGCTCCTGGCCTTACTACTAGGAGCAAGGACGCTTCTGGTCAACGACTCCACCTCCCACCGCAGATCCCTCTTTCCTGCCACCTTTTCCTTTTTTAAGCCCACCTTCACTCAATTAAGTAGGCGCCTACTTAAGTATGTAAGGAATGCGGATCACTGAGTCCGGGATGGTCAAGTTCGCCAAAGAGCTGCAAGACTGAAGGGCACGATCCCAAATGTAGGTCACGGAATTGGGGATGATCAAATTTTGCAACAGTGAAAGGCACCGTTGTGTGCCACAGAGTTGGGGATGGTCAAGCTTACCAAAGAGCTGCAACATCCAAAGGCAGAATGCCCAATGTGGGTCACTTTTCTGCAATCCCCAAAGGCACCTCTGGATCTGGGTCACAGAGTACGGAATGGTCAATTCTACGGAGCTGCAGCACGAGTGTCATGGAGTCCGGAATGGTAAAGTTTGCCAAAGAGCTGCAATCCCAAAAGGCAACATTTCCAATATGGCTCACATGGTCAAGTGCACCAAAGAGCTGCAAACCGCAAAGGAAGCATTCTCAATGTGGTGAACCCCGAGTCCGGAATTCACGCACCACATTGGCTAAAGTGTCAGTCTTGGTGGCATCGCTGACCAGAAACTGAGTCAACGCCGCCAAGACTGGCGCAGTCTTGTCTTTGTTGGAGCATATGACTTTCCTTCTTGATCTGCTTAAGCTTCCAGTCCGTCATCTCTGGCGTGACTGCAAGAACCACGCTTTCACCATTTATCTGCAGAGCTAAAACTCTTTTTCGCCATGGCATGAAGATCTTGATAGATTTGAGTCATTTTGAAATTCAACTGGATGCATCTTGGCTAGCCTTGATGTCTGTCTTCTGCTTGCTCGCAGACCTTGAAACTTTTCTCTTGGGCAAATCGTTGGTTTCACTCAGCCATTCTGCGATTAATGTCCCATGAAAGTCACAACGCATGTGACGGCTCTTCACAGGATTGGTAGAGAATTCTCCGATCAGAACGTCAGAGAAGCCCTAAAACAAGGGCAGTTTTCCAGGCCGCTTTTCCTCTACAAGATCCTGCTTGATTTTATGGACAAACTGGGGAGTCTGCAACGACCTTTGCATCTGAAACCTTATACGCAGATCTTCCAACTGTGCAACCAATTCTGCCAAGTTCGGCAGGGCACCAAAAGGGCTTCCTGAAGAGGCATTAAGCAAGGACACTACTAGGAGCAAAGGGCAACGCTACTTGGAACAAGTGCCTTACTAGTAGTAACAAAAAGCTATTAGAAACAAGCGCATCGCTACTAGGAGCAAAAAGCTACTAGGAGCAAAGGGCAACGCTACTAGGGTGCAAGGACGCTACTAGGACTAAAGGGCACCTTCAGGGCTCACCTGGCCACCCCAGCCCGTGCCTGACCTGACTGCGTATGCTAGCCGCTACTACATACTGGACTTGGGAAAGCTGCGCTCGCACAGTCCTGTTTCCTAGATTTTTAGGGAACATCTTCCCTGAGATCCACTTGAAGGACCAGGATTCGCAGCTGGCCTAGTGCATTTGCATGCCGTTCACAGCAGCTTCTGAAGTCAAACATTCTGAAACCCCCAAGAATGGATTATGTTCAAATCCAACAACGAAGACGGGGCACACAAAGGAACACACAAAGGATCCCGATGGAAAATAGCGATGGCCTTCAACCTACTACCAGTAGCGATGGCTTCCATCACACAAAGGATCCCTATGGAGTCCTAGTAGTAAGGCCAGGAGCCCCTAGTAGCGTCCTTCCTACTAGTAGTGATGCCCTTTGTTCCTAGAAGTGTCCTTGTTCCTAGTCCCAAATATCGTCGTTTTCGCTGCTGGGCCTCTCTGGAGAAGAGTCCCTCAAGCTCTTGGAGGCCTCGTCCTCCTCCGACGCGGTTGGGCTTTCGATAGTACCGGTACAGTAGCGCCATTTGACCCTGTAGCAAAACAAGGCAACAAGTGAGGCAAAAGTGCAAGACCAAACCGATTCGATCCTGGTTTTAATTTTAACCTATTCTATTTATGTTATGAATTTCTATCACCTTGTGACTCGCTTTTGGGGCCACCTTGAAGTACGCGTGGCCATTGTGACCCCTTTTCACATGATTTATGGTTAGTGGATGAAAGGTGACTTGTGACCTGCCAGGCTACTCTCTTGAGCTGGACATGATAAGCTCTCCCCCAGCTCTCTTCTAGCGCGCTGGCTCATGAATACCTGCGATTCTTGCCCCAAATAGAGCCAACCAGTTAGGCAACGCAAGTCAACTGATGTAGTCGACTTGATCCACACATCTCGCACTCATCTAGCTACCCTTGGCCCTGTCCTCTCGTGTGGCAGACAGGAGACCCTCGAAGGCTTCCTGGCGCTCCTGCCGCAGGTGAGCGAGGAACTCTTCCTCTTCCTGGCGCGTCGCGTCGCTGCGATAGCCGCTGCGGTGAGCGTCGGGCTGTGGCTAGTCACTGCCACCTTGGGGCTGACTTCACGTGCCACCACAGACCCTCTTTGTTCAAATGACACTTTGAGGGTTTGAAGCTGAAGAACTCTTTCTTCCAGCTTTGCACCTTGCATTCTCGTCCAAAGACGTTTGATTTTGATGTCAAAGATCATGCAGCTTCAATCATAAGACGGAGGATGACAGGACTCCGAATTGATCACTCAATGGTTGAGCATCACCAACTTACTCACACCAACTCACAGCAAAAACTGTTTCAAGCCGAAGCCTCGCTGAACCGTCTTGGGCATCTCTGTTCCCTACGCCGGTCTGAAGAGTTGCGTCCTTGAAGAGTTGCGCCGGGACGTAGTCTGAGCGCACGGAGGCCTCTCCACAAAGAAATATTCATGTTGGGCCGTTGTCGAATCTACTTGAGCTTTAGACTCATGCAAGGGTCATTCTTTTGCGGTGGTGGTGGTGGTGGGGGGACCCAAATACAATTTTCCTCTTTTCGGAACCTCCCAATGTGGGGCAGGCAAAACTTTATCTGGACACTATGCCCTCATGTTGACCATACTCCGGCACTGACCCGACAAAAACGCCCACGTACGTTGTAGGATCTGAAATCTGGGGTTGCTAATCAGCTACCTGGAAAATGGATGCGTGATCCCGCAAGTACAAGCTTCAACCTTGGTGGTTCCTACCAGGCACGAATCAAAAAGGAAGGGGCGCCGGCAAGTTAAAATCTCTCCAAACCATGGCCATCGACCCCGGTTGATACTCTCATTCAAATGTAGACTTGACGTTTCTTTTTTGCTGCCCGAACATTCGCTAACACTCGCAGCTCGAAGGGTTCAGTGCAACAAAACGTTGTGACTTTGTGACCATCTGTGTGATGAAACCATGATGAAACCATGTTCCCTATGCTCCCCCAAAGAAATGGCACCCCATCAAGCAAAAAGAACCACTGTGAACAAACATCGCTTGAATCAACCTGATCAAGCGCAAGGAATCACAAACAAAAGAGATACTCTCTGTCAATACCGATCACGCGCAAGTGTATCCAATTCTTTCGACCGGCGCAGAATGCCTGAAGTTCTGCGAGCTGTTTCTCTTCTTGATGGCACTCCGCCTGGTCGCTGTCGGTGTGGCCCACGTGGCGGGCCCAGCCTTCCCTCGCAATATCTATACTCAAAGATGTGTTCGTGCTCATTCAAATCCCACCCCTCCCTTTTCAGGTACATGCACCCGGTGGGATAGACCTCTAGACAAAGACTCTGGAGAGGGTTCGTCTGGAGACCGGGTTAGTTGGATCGGAGCTTTCAGGTGGCAAGGTGGTTCACTCGGCGTGTGCCTTGCGAATTACTCGATTGTTGTGACAACTTGTGCGTTTTTCGCCTGGCAGCATTGGCTCTACCTTCGTCTGGTGAGAGGTCGTTGGGAGGAGTTTCGCACAGTCTTCCACCGCTGTTGACAGTCTTTTGCAACTCGTGAGCTGCTTAGATCTGCTTAGATCTGCTTAGCTACATCGTGCTGCGTAACAAGAAGCTACCAGGTTGGAGGCCATCGCTAGCAGGTTGGGGGGCCATTGCTACTAGTAACAAGAAGCTACTAGTAGCAAAGTAGCCTTTGTGGCACTCTTCGTCGCGCAGTCCACGGCCGTCCTCCATGGTCCTCATCTGCACTTGAGCGTTCCCGAAGGCTTCATCCTCCTGTCGCAGTTGGGCCTGTCCAGAGGCGCAGTTGGGGCGTCAAAAGTCGGCAAGTCTCGGGAGCAGCTCCATGTGTGTTTTGTGTTTCTTTTATTGTGTTTTAGCCCGTTACCCTCACTTAATTGAGTAGGCAGCTACTTAATCAAGTAAGGAGGTAAGGTTGTAGGTAGGATGCAGGATAGCTCACGCTTCCTTGAAGAAGCGCTCGCACCATTCATGTGGTTTCTAGATTCATTTCAAAAAAAGCACATAACGTTTCTTGATATAGCCTGGAGTTCACTACCAAACTACAACTTCGAAGGATCTGTGGGACACATGGAACTTGAACCGTGCACCAACACAGTGTAGGTTGAGTTGTTTGCTCCTCGAAATCTCTAAGGAACGCTTTGTTTTGATTGGTGAAACCCTTGGCACTTCAAGTGGACTGTGTTTTTGCTTCCTCTGGACTGAGGGTACTTGAACAGCTGGAGGTGGACAAGTCAAACGGGGAAGCTTTGAGGTCATTGGGGGTGAATGGGTCGAGGTGAACTACAGCCATTCCACTTCCGTGATTCAGTCCGAGTGGAACCAATATAACATGAGTTCCCCTTACTACTAGAAACAAGAACGCTTCTAGGGGCTCCTGGCATCGCTACTAGGACAAGGACGCTACTAGGGGCTCCTGGCTTTACTACTAGGAACAAGAACGCTACTAGGACTAGGAACATTTCGAGTGTAACCAACATGAGCTCCCCGACCTGCCAAACAAAAACAGCCAAAAGCCATGCCGTACCGACCCCCAGCCCACGGCCAACTGCGCAAGCTTCGTGCCCACCTGAACCTCAACTTCTGCGGCTTTCGCTGTCCGAAGCGCTTCTGCCAAGAGCATTTCCTCCTGTTGGGACTCCTGAGTCATGAGATTTTCAGCGAGAAAGATCCACGTTCTACGTTCTAGGACGCTACTAGGGGCTCCTGGCATTGCTACAGGAGCAAGGAAGCTACTAGGGCCTTTTTTCAGAACTGGTAAGGACTTGCCATCCCTTCCGTGAAAAGCGGCTTGACTGCTAAACCCGCCCTCGAAATCAATCCCTGGAGCCGAACAATGGTACATTCGGCACAAATACGGGGCTGGCCAATCTGGAGAGGCCATTGCTACTAGAAACAAGGACAAACGAAAAGGAAGAACGGTCCTCTTTGGAGCTGCATGTTGCTTTGCCAAGCATGCCACGCAAATCCAAATGTGACATGCGTGGGAAACCTCAATTGTGATGTGTCGGCTGGACGTTAAGGAAGCACGCTGGTGAGCGTCTGAATCCACCCTAATAGCGATGGCCTCCAACAGAATAGCAGCAACTGCAAAACGGTTCCTTCAAATTTGGATCTTTGGTCAGATGTGGCAACTTGGCATTGGACCAGCTTGTAAATCGGCAGAGCCCTAGGTCGGCAACATCCCCGTGCTGTCCGTTCGCACGAGCAACACATTGAACAACCACCATTCCCCTCTGGGGGGCGAGATTTGGTGAAACAGCGACCCCGGACAGTGGAGTTGCTGTCAGTGTCTAGACCACCTACATCCCTCACAACAAGTAACACACCAATAGAAACCACCCATATAGAGCCAGGCACCTCTATCAACCCCATCAGCTCCTGCGCTTTCAGCGCTGCTTCTTGCAAGGAGCACTCCTGGCGTCTCAGGGAACAACCAAACCCCAAGTTGCCATGCTCGACTTTGCCCAAACATGGAGCCATCGACCTTCTCTTTCTACTAGCTTCTTGTTACTACTAGTAAGGCCCTTGTTGCTAGAAGCGAGGCACTTGTTACTAGTAGCTTATTGTTTCTAATTATAATTATTGTTTCTAATAGCTTCTTGTTACTAGTAGTAAGGCCCTTGCTCCCAGTAGCGATGCCCTTTGCTACTAGTAGCGTCCTTGCTCCTAGTAGCGATGCCCTTTGCTACTAGTAGCCCTCGATATACAAACGACCACAACGACGTTCTATGCTTCCTCTCCCCGTCCTCCCCCATGGAGCGTACGCGCAGCTGCCGCATCTCCTCCTCGACGGAACTCAGATTGGCACAGTTTATCCAAGACTTTCAAGGAAATTCATGTCGACATTTCTTCGCCATTTCTTCGGAAACAACCTTTCCAGGAAACTGTCGGATGTTTTTCAGGTCCGCTTGCATGGAGGGCAATTCCGCAGACGTGCTTACCGCGAAGACAAAGAAGTGAACACGATGATCAATGCCATAAAGCTTATTAACTGGGAGGAAGCTAGTAGGTTGGAAGCTACTAGGAGCAAAGGGCATCGCTACTAGGAGCAAGAAACTACTAGGGGCTCCTGGCCTTACTACTAGGATCAAGAAGCCACTAGTAACAAGGAAGCTAGTAGGTTGGAGGCCATTGCTGTTTGGTTGGAGGTGACAAAGCTCTCTAACTGGGAGGAACCCCGTCATCTCGTCTGTTGACTTTCACTCGCTTTCCCTCCACGGGAACCACTCACTGAACACTGAGCCATACAGAAAAAAACACCACTCCACGTCAAGAAACGAAGAGAACCAGCAAATGAACCATCACCTTTCTTGGAAACCTTACAAAAAAGACCAAACCAAACGACCAAACCGTTTGACTCGTCTGATCTCGACTCGTCTGACTGGACGAATCTCTCACCCCTTGGCTCCTGCAGCCGCTGACCCTCCCGGAGCATCGCGCCGTGCCGAGCTTTGATCCGTTGCTCCACAGCCATCACCTGCCCCTCCTGCAAGACGTGGAGGGTCAGTGTCACGGGACCTGAATCGACCGGCGTGAAAAGACCTCTGGGAATAATGTTAATTCTAATGTGATTAAGCTACTAATTTTATTCTAATAGCTTCTTGTTACTACTAGCGATGCACTTGTCACTACTAGCGATGCACTTGTTACTACTAGCGATGGGCCATGTCTTTTCTGATATTTTCTGGGAATCCTTTTCTTTGTTCTTAAACCCCAATAACGATGGCCTCCAACCTATTGAAGGAAAAGAAGTCACCTAAAGTTTGGTCTCTTGTCTTTGTGCTTTTGTCAACATCATTTGCAAGGTACACGCTTCCAAAGCACCCAAAAGTGCTGGTTTGCTTACCTAATGATACCCCAAACAAGCTTCTTGTTCCCCTAGTAACGTCCTTGTTCCTAGTAGCGATGCCCTTTGTTCCTAGTGACTTCTTGCTCCTAGTAGTAAGGCCAGGAGCCCCAGTAGCCTAAACATTGGATCGACCCAGGCAACTGTTTGTCTCGCCAAGATCAAGAGATGCAGAGATGTGAATCAGCGAGGCCCAAATCCACCCAGAGTGCAGGATCAAGCTCACTTGTTCTTCCGCCGAAAAGTCTGCCTGTAAAGCATGGGTGCGACTAACAAGGTACGGCATCCTCGTCGGTTTGATTCATGTTTGCCAACCCAGGCTTGTTCTCTTCAGGCCCCAAGAACGAAGCCAACCTCCTACCAAGCTAGAACAAAGCAATAAAACCACTAACAAAGTGAATATATTGCAAACATGACGATAAAACCAAATAGCGTTTACTGTTTACCCGGTGTATTGTATCATTATGGTGAATTCTCCATGTCCGTTGGACGGAGGGTTCTTGCTGAGCTGTCCTGACCACAGTCTATTTTTGTAGATCCTTCAAGTCCATGGCTTCAGCTACCCGTGTAGCACGAAGGTTGGAGGCCATCGCCATTAGAAACAAAGAAAAAAGAACATGAAGAAGGTCTAATATAGTTTGCTACTAGGGGCTCCTGGCCTTATTACTAGGAGCAAGAAGCTACTTGAGAGGAGGGAGACACGAAAGGTAGGACAGCGGGAAGAGAAGAGAACGCGAGAGGCAGGAACAAAAATGCAATGTTCGACATGGTGATTTATCCCCTCGGAGGCGACCTTTCGTAAATATATGTTCATATGCACTCTAAATGTTCAAACATATGCTCTCGAAATGTTCAAAAAGGTTCTTAGGAAAACAAACTTGCCCCATGGCTCAGATCATCGGTGAGCATTGAATCGGAACATCATAGGATTTGTCCTGAAACCATAAGAGGCTCACGAAGACGCTCCCCAGGAGAGAATTGACGTGCTTCACAAAACAAACTCTAGGTATGTATCCCCTCGGGGAACACCTTTCGTGATTAGAATTTCATATTCACTCTTTCTAAAATGTTCAAGAGGGTTTCAACTATCCTGAAATCATGAGAGGCTCACGAAGACGTTCTCCAGGAGAGAATTGATTTTAGAGGGGGGGGGGGGGGGGGGGGGGTCTGAATTGAGCGATCAATTATTAGACCCGGACGTCCCAACACTTGCTTCGCAAGACAAACTCAAGGTATCCCCTAAAGGGCTACCTTTCGTGACTAGGTTTGCAAAGGAGGATTTTGACACACATGTAGCTTTTCCAACGCCCGCTCACCGATCCTGCTCTTGCTCCTGCAGCTTCCGCTGACGCTGAAGGTCCTCGCTGTGTCAAATGGGGTCTATCTTCCAAACTATAGCAACAACAGTTGTCCTGAAACAGTATCTTTTCCGACTATATGTCCTTTCCGTCTTTGTTCTTTTCCTTTCTGGTTTCTCTTATTTATTCTTTTGTCTTTAGGCCTTTAGACTCTTTTGTTTATCTTTATTTTCATTCTTTCTTCCTTTCCTTTCCTTTAGACAAACTACGTATGCAACATTTGCAGAACAACTATTTGCCTCTTGTTTTAGACGCTTCAGAGTCTATCTATATACTAGAGGATGGTGAATACTTATGTGAGTTATGTGTATATTGTGCACACTTCTTAGCACAGCCACTGAAGGAACATTCCCCAGTTCCATCTATATGGCCACACAACAGACTGGGTCTCCAGGTTGTCCCTGCACGCACACAAGAAAACGCGTCTTCGGGTCCCTAAACCGAGCAAAACAGCATGAACTTGGACCGAATGTAACTGAACACTAGCAGGTTCACATATGTTTTTTGACACGTCATCAGAACATGACCTACCTCTATGTACCCATGATATAATCAAAGGAATGACACTGCCAGAAATCAAACCAGTGACTTTCAGGGTGAACTTAGGTAAAATTATCACTGAGAGAAAGAGAGAGAGAGAGAGAGCAAGGATCACAACCCTCTTCTTATCCCCTTCTTACCGCCTATCTCCGCGCAAGGATCCACTGCAAATGGTCCGTCGGTGGTAAGTGTTCGTCCGACGAGGCGACCCCATTCGTCTGAACTCCGGTCCTCCCATTCGCCCGTCGCTCGCTGGATCTCCTCCTCGAGGAAACGCCTGGAGTGCATTGCACCTCAAATTAGAGAAGAATGGGAGGTCGATGGCCTCTGACCTAATAGCAATAGTCAATGCCCTGCCACAATTTACCTGGAACCTTTTGAGATGGGTGATCGGTTTCACCGCCTGTTTGATCCATTTTTCTTCACATAGTCCTTCCCGAAAGAATGACTTGATGATTAATTACCATGAAAATCTTGGAGACAAAACAACTATATAGTAGGTCGGAGGCCATCGCTCTTAGGTTGGAGGCCATTGCCATTAGGTGGAGGCTATCACTTTTAGGTTGGACGCCATCGCTATTAGGTTGGAGGACTGGTTGGAGGCCATCGCTATTAGGTTGGAGGCTATTGCCATTATTACACGAATCAACGCAGAATGCCCCGAGTGTGCAGTAGACGCACTGTTTGTCACGCCACTCGCTCATCTTAGCTGGGCTCTGTCTGTTGGCGCCGGAGAGGCGCAGCGTGGCCAGTCGCTGGAGGAATGAGGTAGTAGCTTCTTACTAGTGATGCCCTTTGCTCCTAGTAGCTTCTAGCTACTAGTAGTAAGGCCAGGAGCACCTAGTAGCGTCCTTGCTCCTAGTAGCGATGCCCTTGTTACTAGCAGCCTAGCTTGTTGTTACTAGTTCGGGACAGGGTCCATCACCAGTGTCGAGGGGACACGACCCTGCCCCACCTGCAACAGTGGACGATGGCATCCACAGGATGCCTTCTCCAAGTGTTTGACTCACAAGGGATACCAGTATGCGGAGATAACAGCACTTAAAAGCACGTGTTTTGCTGGAAGTGACCCCAACACTAGCAGGAATGACCCCAACAGGAAGCAATAGGCGTTCATCGATCTTCTGATTGTCACCCCGCACCCAACAGGTCAAGCAGAACGCAGGACAAGTCGGCATTGGAACCCGCTGTTGATGCTCACTTCTGACCCACCAAAAACACATGGTGGGTCACCGAACTAGTGAAGTGGGCTGATGTAGGCGTGGACACATGCCGTATCGATATTAACGGTAGTTGGAGATGCTGCTTCGAGAAAAAATGAACAAGCAGCTTCTAGCTACTAGTAGCGTCCTTGCTACTAGTAGCGATGGCCTCCACTTAACAGGAATAGCCTCCAACCTAGTAGCGATAGCCTCTACCTAATGGCGATGGCCTCCAACCGAATAGCTTCTGGATGTTTATAGAAGACTCTGTGACAAAAGACCATATCGAACAATTCAAAGCCGGATAGCGACGTTAACCATTCGCATCTGCGACTGCTCTCAAAGACCTGCTATCCAGCGGCTGGCTCGCTCCGGAGATAGACTGGCGACGGACAAAGATCTTTCTTCTGTTGTGTCAATGAACTGTATAAATAGTTATGAAGCAAACTATCATGGAACAGTGCCACAATCCTCAAGTGGGAAGACACCCCAAATTGTTGAGCAACCATTGGTTGGATCCCCAGAAGTTGTCATTTCCGACGAAACATCTCGTTCTTTTAAGCAACGGAGCGATCACACTTTTCACGCCCTCTTCATAGCCCCACCAAAAATCCATGAACAAGAAGCTACTAATAGGTTGGAGGCCATCGCTAGTAGGTTGGAGGCCAATACTGCTAGTAGCAAGAAGCTACTAGTCAAATGTGTAGGAATGAAAGGACACTCTGAACGCCGAGCAACTTCCATCTGTGTCCGCGTCTTTGGATCTTTTGGGCCGTCCATTTAAACTTGAGCAACTGGTGCAACAGGTTCGTCCAGGTGGAAACCCGATCTGCCGGCGTTTGCCACATGCTTTTCCGGTAGGTTGGAGGCCATCGCTACTAGGGCTTTTCCTTTGCACCTCGGGTGATGGGTTCCGGTGCTTTTTCGTCCCTTTGACCGACCAGTACCATGAAACACCGCGGTGGGGATACCAGTGGGAAACGCCTATGGTGCACGAATTACTGCCAGTAAGTCGACCAATTTCACGAATCCGCCCACTGTGTCCACCATGGCGTAACAAGAAGCTACTAGTACAGTAGCTCCTGATCAAATCTTCACATAATTTGTTTTCCTCTTCTGAGTTCGCTCACGAAAACGGCTGAATAGCTCTTCCAAAGCCGGACTCGCTGTCTGGATTGGTTCGCTCGTGTTCGCTGGTCTCACAGCCAGTTGGGCCACTGTTTGTGTCCCATGAGAAAAATTGAGCTTTTCGTGGACTTGAGGACTGGACAAGCCAGGTGTTTGACCTGCTCTCGAGGGCCGTTCTTCCATTGCACCACAGAGAAGCTGTGGGAAGTGATGCCATGACCCTGGTGGTTCAGTGAGCACCGAGCACCCCCAAGAACGACGTGAGGGGGGGGTTTGAAAAGGACCTCCTGGCATGGTTTGTTCCTCTGTCTGATTCATTTCGAGACGTTCAAAACCAAACGCCGTGGCCAGGACCCCTGTACAGGGCCCGCAGGTGACTCTGGTGCAATGGAAATCGTAGTCCACAGATTAATTTGAAAAGAGCCAACTGGCGACGTCAACAAACATCACATGACTTACTGTGCCGCTGAATTCAACGCTACCCCTTTTTTACACATCTTGTCTTAAGAAACTCTGAGGGGATGGATGTGACTCCCTGATAGTCGCCAGCTGAAGATATGGCTTACTTCCTCCTGGATGCAGAATCTTTTGGACATTTTTAGAACTTCTCTAGAGAGATGTGCTCCGTTCGGCATATTCGGCAAAAAATGACTGAAGTCATTCACTGAGGTGGTCGCTCACCGGTGCTACTTCCACCAAGCAAAGGTCCGACTGGTCCTTTCCCTAAAAACATAACTATTTTTCCCAGTAGCGTCCTTTTTCCTAGTAGTAAGGCCAGGAACCCCTAGTAGCGATGCCCTTGGCTCCTAGTAGCGATACCAGGAGGAAGCTGCAAAAGGAGCTCAACTCATCTCAACTCTAAGATACGCCGAGCGATGCTTTGACGGTGTTCATGTCCTTGAGCTGGAAACTCTCCTGAGTGTCACTGGCAGGACGTCCTTGATGGAGGGTTCATTCAATCTGGGATCCAGATTGAAAACGGACGGTTCCATGGTGAGGGACCTTTGAACACCTTCACTCCATTCTTATTAAGACATCCAAAACATTCCAACAAACACTTCAACTAACACTGTGGTTCATCCTAGCGGGTGCAGTGAAGCTTTTGTGATCAACACAAATATGGGTTTCAGTAAGTTGGGGAATTCCGTGGATGGCAATCCACAGAGTGAAATGAAGATTGGAGTTAAGCTACGGAACTGGAGGACCATCGCTAGGTTGGAGGTCATCGCAAGAAACAAACCGGAGGAAGGAAACCAATCTGGTAACAACTTGACACGGGAAGGATATCTTCCACCAGCAGTGAGACAGCTGGGCTGTCCCGTTTTCAAAGAGAACACACACACAGAAATCACCACATGTTCAACTGGAGCCATGACATCATCCTTGAATTTCCCAGATATCTTTTCCAAAACAACCAAAAGTGCCAGGCTCCGTCGGTATCTTTGGCATCCTATATGCTATATATCTATTTCGGTCGGCACCTTGGCCCAGCGGTGCTTCAGGCCGTCGGCGTTTCCCCAAATCGCGAGAACGAGAAAACAAGAGCCATCCCTTTGATGGACAGTCCAACAAATCATGGACAAGAATGCTGGTCATATTGTTGGAACCAGCACATCTGTGGATTCTTAAATGCAACTGCAAGCGATGCAAAGACTTGCATGCCACTTCTCACGACGGTCTAAAAGTTAACGTTCCCTAAAGTCTTGGAATTAAATCCATAGTGCAAGGGCTTCTGCAAGGAAACTCCCCCTGCCCTCAGGCGGGGGGAGCTTCCTTTTTACTCTCCCGCCGTAGAACGGAGTCGTCGGCGACCATTCAAGCTACCGCAGTGAAGGTCAAGGTGAACCAGAGATTCAAACGAGCAAGTCGAAGGGCAACGCCCAGGAAGCGGGGGTGGCTTTAGCACCCTTTTCAAAGGCTTTACAAAGGAGGTCAAGCGTGCAATTATCTAAAAACACTTCAGCTCCGAGGAAGGCCCCTTTTGGGTATGTGCGTCCATTGCTCTTATTTCGTTTGTCGAGCAGCAGAGGGGCAACCACTATCTTTTTGTGCTTGCAAAAACTGATCGCACCACGAATGATGGCCGCGTAGGCCTGTGGGGTACAAAGAGTTCCCACAGGAAGGTCGAACCTCCAGCCTTGTGTAAACGCAAAAGCAGCGAGTTCAAAAACAGAACAAGCAAGCCCTTTCCCAAACCGCCATTTGAGGGAGTTTGTAAAATGGATGAAGGTCCGAAAATTTGCAGCAGTCAGAGGTGGTTTATCACTCCCTTTGATGGGGGGGAGCTTCCTTGAAGAAGCGTGAACTATCCTGCGTCCAGTGACTAGAAACTAACTTAGCCTAGGAGCGAACTACTCCCTTACTTGATCAAGGACGCGCCTACTGAATTAAGTAGGGGGCAGGGCCACGGGCAAAGTAAAGGTGTTGACTAATTCAACCGAATTGGTGGGGAATGCACCCTGCAGGTCTTTTGACTGGTGGAACGTCTGCATCATTTCAATCACCCTTCTTTCAACTGCAGGGTGAAAAGCTTTGATCAAGCACGCAGCAGCGTACACAACTTCCAAAGATCGCTCTTCCCTTTTTGGAGTTGCTTGGCTGTGCTCTTGGCGAACTATGGTGGAGCAGGGCAATCCTGGAGCCTTGAAGATCTTTCTTGCGTGGTCCACTTTTCCGCCTCTTTTGGATGGCCTAGACATCCCAGAAGCGTCATCTCCGGACTGCGTCAGAAAACGTCTAGCCCCGTCTCAGGTCCTACTGTAAACATATGCGGCCATCATCCATCCCATCCGACTACTTTGGGCGGACCTTCTCTTCCCCTCAAGCCCACTCCTACCTTTGAGATTGACTAAACATCCTCAAGTCTGTTGAACTAATCCGCCGACCCCGGTCTAGGCCGATGAACAAGAGCGTGAGCGGAGCGGGGCCGGCGTGTTCCTGGAACGAGGGACTCCGGTGAGCGGTGGGCGATGGCACGCTGCCGTCACACTGACCAACATACCCTAATAGCATCCTTGCTCCTAGTAGCGATGCCAGGAGCCCCTAGTAGCGTCCTTGCTCCTACTTAATTATGTGCCGCTTCGTTGACATTTGTCGACTTTTTCTAGTCTTGTGGGACTGTTAAGATTTTGTCTCAGGAAAAAGCGTTGCCCAGGTCTTGGTCCTGGGTTCGACCCCGCCCTCGCCTCTGGCTGCGCCTATTACCACCGCCTACGAGACGGGAACCCCCAGGGACTGCGCGCGCCACTGGAGTCCGCGCGCGGGTTCGCGCGGTCCCTTGATGTCCCTTGTGGGTTCCAAAAAGGATTGTGTCCATGAAGAAGTTTCTTTGGGGCCAATCGCACAGTTGACACCATGCCCCCTCCCCTAGTCACAAAAATAACAAACTGTATAGCTCCTAGACCGGGGGTCGGCGCCCGTGGGCACTAGCCCCCCTGAATCACCAATACCGTTGTAAGCTGGATTGTCTCCGCATGTCCCTCATCGCTGAAGATAGACCAAGTTCCCCACGTCCAAGTGGCCCGTACGGGAAGGAGCTTAGCAAAAACAGCCTTGCTGTTTCGGAAGCTGCCGGTGTCGATGGACATGGCCTCAAAGGCCCCCAAACCCGGCCAAGTTGATTCTCCAGAGACTATGGGAGACTGTGCTGACATCTTCAGCCTTTTGGAACACAAGATGAGTCGTGGAACTCATCCACGTCGCTTTTCCCGTCCATTCAGGTTGAGAGTTGCACAGATTCCACCTGAACCTGATGATGAACACAAACAGCAAAGAACTGTCGAAACCAACCTGGTGAAAATAGGTTGGAGGCCATCTCTAGTAGGTTGGAGGCTTCTACAGTTGTTCTGGCCAAGGTGCCCCAGCGCCGTGCTCGCCCGGCTCGCCCTCCGGTGCCATCTCACCGCCACTCGATGTCAACGGGACTCGCCGCTGCGGCCGCGCTGGGGCACTGGCACGGCGGAGGGCCTCGTCGCCACGACGGAGCCAACTCATCTGCAAGATCACCATGGCAGCCTCAGGCGAAGTCGAAGGTCGCTTCAAGACATGCCTGCAATTGTATATAAATATCTACATGTTCATGTTGAGTTCATCTCTTCACATATCTTCACATGAAATCACATGGTTCCACATTGGTGGAGGCAAAATTCGAGCTCATTCTTGGGGGGGGGCTGGCCACTACAGACCACGAAAAGCTCAACGGATATCACCGGACACTAGATATCACTGGTAGGTTGGAGGCCATCGCTTCTAGGGTGGAGGCCACGAGAGTCTTCCAAATCGACTTTTCTCATGACTTCTCTGACTTCGCGATGTTGAATGGCCGGTCTCTGCCCCTTCTCCAGCGCCAAGCAGTACCGCACTGTGGCCTGGGACAGTGACCAACCGACGGGAGGTGACCCTTTGGAAGAGATGAAGTGAGAAACATGCAAGAATTATAATATTAGCCACAGGTGTGTCTTATCGTGCTCCCTCAAATTCCCAAACATATCCCATCTCAAATGACCACCGAGCTCACCTTGTGTTGTTTGAGATCAGGACCCACCTTGTAGTAGAGCTACTAGGGGCTCCTGGCATAGCTACTAGGAGCAAGGACGCTACTAGGACCCACCTTCTACTTTGCACCAAAACAACGCAGCCTTGCAGTCGTCGGAGACTGCTCGCCAATGTGGGCCGCTGCAGCTGATGGCGGACGACTGGACGGCGTCGCAGAAATCTTCAAAGCCTTGGTGGCGACCGGCAACGGGAGCTGCACCCTAGTAGCGATGGCCTCCAACCGAATAGGAATGGCAACTGGAGCTTCAAGTTTCTGGGCTGATCCAAGTCCAACAGGATTTAAATGTTTGTGTAAGCGGATAGCTATGGGCATCTGTTCCATGCATATCGAAAAGAAGCCGATTTCCACGTCAAACACATTGGGAAGTCGGTGCCATGACATTTCCACACGTGAAGCTATCCTGCATCCATATGTAACAGCATGTAGTAGCATATTCCCTTACTTAATAAGTAGGAGCGGGCTAAACAACAGTTTTTTTGATTGCTTTTCGTTCAAAAAGGCTACCCCATGTAGAGGAGCGGACAAAAGGACACCTGGGCATTCCCACTTTCACACTGCTGAAGTTCGACCCTCTCAGTTCGACCCTCGATTCCAAGAAGCACGTAAATCGGATGATGCTCCGGGGAAGACGTCCTGGCCGTCGGAACGGCGATGGAGCTGGGTTCGTTGCGTGCCAACCGGCCTACTGTTGGTCGACGTTTGGCTTTCTTGTTTCATTTCTTGAAGGGTGACTTTGTGCGGGATGGGAGTTGAAAACTGTCTGCCCAGAAATACCTGAGTTGAACACTTGCCTCATCCTCTCGAAGTTCGAGGACTTTCAGACCATGAGGTCATGAGGTCTTCTTCTTTGGTGGCCCGGATTCAGATCCGCAGGGTCCGGTTTCGCCAAAATGACCTGCATCAGGTTCCGTGCGTCTCCTGCTTTAGATTTGGGGCCGCCCCTGCACGAAGTCCGAAGTCCAAAAGATGTAAGCCAAAGCTTTCCACAAGGAGCAAGCATGGCAATTCTTGCAGGTGATTTGGACACAACCCCTAATGGGAAACTTGACCAATACCGAAAGGATTCAAGAAACCCTCTCAGCATACCACTCTCCCATGAAATCCCATCCGAACAAAATCTAACGACCCGATCGCCGATCGCGCCTGATGGCCCACATCGCTGAAAGGTACCGATCGACAACCAAATAGCGATGCCCTCCAACCTAGTAGCATTCTTGCTACTGGTAGTAAGGCCAGGAGCGCCCCTAGTAGCATCCTTGCTCCTAGTAGCGATGCCCTTCGCTCCTAGTAGCTTCTAGCTACTAGTAGTAATGCACTTAGTAGCTTCTTGTTCCTAGCGATGGCCTCCCTCACTCGTCGACTCGTGCCTGTGAGCATGTAATATAAGCAAAGGCCAGCGCCCCAGACCTCGAGTGGCGAGTCTCGATGTGGAACGGTCGCAGAAACGGCCCGAGCAGGGCCCAGCATGGCATCCCCCGTGGTGATCCGCATACTGTGAAACGGGGAAGGTCGTTGATGTGCAAGAGATACTTCGATCGCACCATGCGAAAACCGGACCCCTGAACTGGTGTTACCTCAATGCACGAAAAGCTGAGAACAAAGGGTGACAATCATCTAGCTGCATCTAGCGGCACGCATTAAACATGTTTTTCATGCAACTGCGCAGTGCTTTCACCTGATGATTTAGTGGCCATTCCGAAATCTTGGATATTGGGGTTAAATATAACCCTCTTGCACAAACATTTTTTCTACGACGAGTAGATCAGTGGATCATCGATGATCCTTTCTTGAGCAACCTCTAATTCCTTTCTGGCATGACTCGACGCGCATCCAACTTGCATACTTCCACCAATCCATGGCAGTTCTCCGGCAAATGCTGCACCAGGTTTGAAGATCAGTGACCCAACAAATCTCAGGTGGTCTCCAGATCTGCTCCAGGCTCTGACGGCACGTTCCCGGTTTCCTTCCCTTTCTTTCCACGACACATCGTGCTTCTCTGTTGGTTCTTCCCCAGCTAAAACTTCCGGCGCTGAGAAGTCGATCGTCGTCGAGGTCAGCGGCTGGTCGCCTCACCCGAGGAGTCGGAGGGAGTGTCGAAAGCACAAACAAGGTTTTCTCTTCAGAATTCGTTGGGTTCTTACATGTTGACTCTGTTAGCATGGCCCCCAAAAATAAGCAGTGCAATCACCAGTGCACTACTACTAGTAACAGGTGCATCGCTATTAGTAGCTAATTTGCTACTAGTAACAAGTGCATCGCTACTAGTAACAAGGGCACTACTACCAGTAGCAAATAGCTACTAGTAACAAGTGCTAATTTGACTGGGTGGTCTTCATACTCCGGAGAGCTAGGGGGTCTGATGCGAAGCCGCTTCAGCGATCCCACCTGCGCGGAGAGTGCGGGAGGAGCCGAAGTCAGTGAGGTGCAAAGTGGCCAAATCGGGCGAAATCCTGAAGCCACGGTGAGCCGAAGTCCGTTGAAGGGTTTCGTCAAACCAACGTAAGGAACCCAACAAGGAGAACACCACCCTCGCCTTGTGGACACCTGAAAAAGAACGGTTTTGATCCAATATCAAGTACTGGTAACCAAGAACATGATGGCTTCAGTGTGCCATAAGACATTCACATGGAACCGTGTGTCTTCATTTGTTTGCAGACATATTGTTACCAAGCTGGGCCATCCTTCGTAGTTCTGATTCTGACCAACCAAGTTTGCAGCTGACCAAACCCTTTGCCCACCTGTCAGGATTTACTTGAACCATTGGGGGTCTTTACTTGGCAGCCGTTTTTTGTCTGAATCGCAGCCGAGGTGTTTGAATTCATTCTGTGCAGACCACGGACTGGCTGTTCTTTCCACCAAAAACTGCCGGATCGATGACTGCCAAAGTGGCACATTTGCAGACCTTCTCAACCTTCAATGGAACACACCATCACCTGATCTATTGCCATCGGCCATCAGCAGAAGACTCACCGTACGCGTACGGAGTATCTTGGTTGGTGTTTCGACATCACTCAGCTGCTTGAATGAACATATTCCAAAACACAGTCCCTCCACCCTGCTTGAAAAGAGTGTTCTTTTTTCAATTATTCCTTCCAACAAACGTCTCTCTATTAAACCAACAAGGAACCGACCTTTCTTTGCTAGTAGGTTGGAGGCCATCGCTATTAGGTTCCTTAAAAGTTCTTTCTGAAAGATGTTTTTCTAAGGACCTTTCTAATAGCTTGTTGTTACTACTAGTAAGGCACTTGTTACTAAAAGCGATGCACTTGTTCCTAGTAGCGAACCTTGTTCTAAGGACCTTTCTTCACACAAAAGACACAACCCGAGTGGCAGCACGTTGTCGGACTTCACGTCGCTGTGGACGATCCTCGGCGCCGGGAAACGCAAGGCTCCGGTCCCGAAGCGGAGCGAGTTTCATGGTGGCGAGTGAAGGAGGCGCTTTTTTACGTGTTGGAGGCCACGGCTTTTAACGACTAGTTCTGTTTTTTGTTCTGCGCTGATGAAATTCTGGAAGATCTTCCAGAGTGGGATCTAAATGGACTCAGCATTCAGAAAAGGTCGTGTTCATGGGCTTCCAATTCTGTTTACAGCAAGAATCAAAGGAGCATATACTTCAAGGATTCCATCTTATATGACGCTACTAGGGGCTCCTGGCCTTACTACTAGGAGCAAGGGCGCTGACGCTACTAGGGGCTCCTGGCATCGCTACTAGGAGCATTCTTACTACTAGTAACAAGAGGCTAATTACCAAATATTCCCCAAATGACGCTGCCCATCTTTATCTTCAACATAAAGGCTTGCTGGGCACAAACATTTGCCCATGTGCTGCATTGCAAACTGGTGTACCGCTGAAACGAAGTGAATTGGGGATGCCCATGGTGCCATCTTGTTTAGTGTTTTGGTAAGTCCTTCTCCCAGGGAAAGCTACAGCCCCCGAAAACACGGTCGTCAAGGTGAGCGGTTTCAAGACTCAGACTGCCTTGGCAGCTTGACGCCGCAACATCCTGCAACGCAAAAACTGGTGAAGCCTTAAAATCCAGTTCGACTGCATTTGGCACCACCCAAGTGAAGGTACTTCCTTGTCAGGTCGCCTAAAGACAATTTTTTAAAATAGTCTTGGAATGTCTTGGACGCCAAGGGGGACAAGGTTCGAGGCCATCGTTACTTGTTTGGAGGCCATCGCTAGTAGGTTGGGAGGTTGGAGGACTCAGGTTCCCTTTGCTGCCTGTCGATACTTCCTTTTCGACCTCCCTGCGCTGCGCTGCGCCGGCTACGCCGGTGCTGACAGGCTCAGTCTAACGGATGAAAGACATGGAGAGGGAACCACCCAGGACCATTCCTGTCTGTCAGTCCTGGCCGGAATGCGCCACTTTTCGACACCCTCCATCGGACTGGTATTGCCTAAAGATGCTCAATCCGGCTGCAACCTGAAAAACCTCACTCTCCCAAACCTGAAAAAGACCAAAGAGGTCGACTGAAATCACTGTATCACGTTGGTTGCTCCGACAAAGAGTTGCCACCCCGAAAGGCACCATCTCCGGTCACAGAGTCTGGGATGGCCAAAGCTCGGCAAAGAGCTGCATCTCAAAAGGCAATGTGGGTAACAGAGTTCGAGATGGTCACGGTCACCAAAGAGTTGCAACCTTGAAAGGCACCAGATCCAATGTGGGTGACAGAGTCTGGGATGGTCACGTTGACCAAAGAGCTGCAACTCTGAAAGGCACCATCTCCAGTGAGAGTCACTGAGTCCGGAATGGTCACTTTGGCCAACGTGCGGCAACCTTCAAAAGCGTTTTCATGAATTTGTGTATCATCATTCGGAATTTCGACCACAAGCAAAAGTTCTGAGTCAATGATGTCACCAAGACCGTCGATCGCACCCTTGTTGGAGCATATCACTTTGTTTGGCTTGAAGACAACACTCACAACAGTATCTTCAGCAATTCCAGCATGCAATACCTTTAGATCATCAGCCAGCAATTGGCTGTCTCCAACAATGATCTCCACACCTGTAGTGCTGCGAGTGAGCTCATCCCAAGGCTGTCCCTCCTTGATCTGCTCCTTGAGTGCCCGGACTGTTGTCGGTGGCGTGACTTCTAGAATGAGTATTTCACCACTCGGCTGCAACGCTGAAATTCGCTTCGCCATGGCTCAAGGACCTTGACTTATTTGGCTTTTACCTGATGGCTTGTTGTTTGGTCACTAGCCTTGACGAGCAGTCCACCATGGACACATGGACATGGCTTCTTTGCTCAGTCCTACTTCGGTGTCCCGCAGTTACGTCAGCTTAAAGACTCCTTTCTATTTACAAAAGGGATTACCTAGCTGGAATACTCACCTGTCCCTTTTCCATCTTTTCTCACATTCACCCCTTTTCAATCCATCCGACCACCCAAGTCTGGTGACTTGAGCCAACTCCGAGATCGGCTGGACTCGAGTGAAGGAATCAGAATGAATCAAGCAGAACATCCCAAAGCATCCAGGGGACTGGCATATTACTTAACAGCATTCAATACCTTGGGGTGGTTGAACAGGGGATGAATGTAGGCAAACATGCCAGTGCAATGGAGTGTCTGGGCATGGTTAACATGTCAGAATCATATTTCATTCTCTTTTGAGTCAGAATCATGTCAAAATGGGGTTAACACCACCATGCAATCTCCATGCCACACCATCGAGACGAGAACACATGTGCACCAAGAAGGGCAAGCTACCAAAAAGGTCGGCATCTTTGCAGGATGGATCCATAAAAACACTTAAAAACATGCCCGCAACGAGAAAGGTAAGTCTTCAACCAGAAATGACTACCTAGACCCTGTAGAAAATGGGACCTGACCTCATCCCATAAAGAACAGGGACATGTGCCCAATTTCTGAGGTACTTTCTGAGACTCCAGGTGACTCCCGCCACTTTGAACATCATATACTCATCTTATGGTCTTTGCTGGAACTATGTTTCTCAAGAACTAGTGGGATGGGGATGGGCCAGGGATCCGAACCCAAAGCAACACAAAGTCATGAAGTCTTGACACTTTCCACCTAGTAACAAGGGCATCGCTACGTTCGTAGCAATGGCATGCTCTACCCACACCCATTCGGATGAACGCTGGATCCCAATCCTTCGTTCGCTCCGAAGCTCCGATGTTGATGAAGGTAGCTCACGGCCTCCAGCAGCAGCCGAAAGAGATGCTTGGCCTTGCCTTCGGCCAGGAATCCCGCGCCCTCCTTCACGGCCTCCAGGATTCCGTTTCTCCAAACGTCCAAGAACAAGCAGCTATGAACGGAACAACGGGCATCGCTACGAACGGAGCCAGGACGCTACTAGTAGCTCCTGGCATTACTACTAGGAACAAGCAGCTACTAGTAACAAGGGCATCGCTATTAGGAGTTTGTTTTCCCCAGAGAGGTGTGGAAAAACAAGAAGAGCTCTGGCATCCCCCTCCCAAAAGAAGTGACACACCTGGGTGAGGAAGACTCTCGGTGCACAAACCCAGCTGCCCAGTGTTGCACACAAGTCTTTCTGTACGAAAATGCATTCCATCGGTGCAAAAATATGAAGGGAAGTGTGGGATTCCATCATTCCTAGCTATCCCAGAACTGTGTCCCATCTAGCTATAAGCTTCTATGCAGTGTGTCCCACCCTGTGCTCGGGGAAATGGAAGGACATTTGGTTCCCATCATGAGCCAAAAGCGCAGCATGCGGCAGGTGCGAGCCCTTCGAGAGGAAACTGAGGCTTCATGGAAGTTGGGTCGTCGAACATCTAGATTGCTTGAAACATCCTTGATTCATCCACTGGAAAATCACACATCGTTTTCTCATGTTTCCTCAATGAAGGGTGACTTGATCTGGAAAACGCATTTTGGAGCGCTTGGTCGGCGTTTCGGCGTCTGGTTCTGCCTGGGTCAAGGTGCCGCCTGGGACATAGGTTAAAACCAAGGCTGCACCACAGTTGTACCTCCAGTGACACCGTAGCGTGTGCCGTCGTTTTGGGTTGTTGGGCTGTGTTGAGATCCTTTCAACTTGAGGCTATCCAAGGAGGGTGGATCTTTTCGTGAGCCAAGCGCAAAGGCCGATCTCACAAACTTGGTCCGAATCACCAGGGGGTATGGCTCCTAGTAGCCTTCCAATTAAATTCTAATTGAAGCTTCTTGTTTCTACTGGCAAACATTGTTCCTAGTAAGGCCCTTGCTACTAGTAGCGATGCCCTTTGCTCCTAGTAGCTTCTTGTTACTGCAATCATAAGGGGGTATGGCTCCCCAAACTGGGTCTGTTCAAGAGCCTCGCGGACCATTTGGAGGTCCGTTTTGATTTTGGGTTCCTGACTCCAACATGTTACTAGCAGCGATGCCCTTGTTCCTAGTAGCGTCCTGTCCTTGCTCCTAGTGGCGACGCACCTGTTACTGCAATCACATCTCCGTCAGCTTAGGCGCTGAAAGAAGTCGAGCGCTCGGATCAAGTTTGGATGGCTGATCGCTTGCATAATCTCCTCGGGACGGTTGAGCGTCGTCCGTAGGTGAATGCCACGAGCTCCCGCGCGCGTCACCAAGCGGCGTGGGGAGAAACGTTTATTGATTTTTGTAGATGAGCCTTTGTGTTCCAAGTATTCCATCTGTTTCCGTGGAACCTGGTATGCCACTTAGCTTGGGGGTTGCAATCCCCGAAAGCAAATCTCAGAGCCAATCAACATGTTGAACACAGCTCTGAAGATTTTTGAGCACCGGACATGGTCCCCCTCATATGGCCTTTTGCATTTCTTGGGTGAATTTCGCTCTCGATCCCTCCTCCCCCTGCATTACAATGAGCCTATGGAGGTTCGAACACGATCCACCATTCTCATCTATTCTCCACCATCGCTCTTAGCTTGGAAGCTTCTAGCTTGGAGGCCGCCCTTCCCTTGGCGCGCCGCCTTCGCCTCTCGCACACCGTTCCCGCCGCCCAACGGCCCGAGCGCTCGCCGGCCCGAGCGCTCGCTGCTCGCCGCTCGGACTCCGAGGCACAAACTCCCGGTGGGTGGCCACAGCCTCCTCTCCCATGAGCTTGATCGCCACCTGGAAGCAACGAGAAAACACCAACGACCGAAAAAGGCGATCTTGAGATGAGATGTCCGGTCACCGTTTGGTGTTTGGGTTTTTGTGGATCCAGTGCGAATCTGCGGAGAAAGGGATGGGTACTTTCAACATGGAATGGTTCAAGGGATAAGGTATGGTCCCGGAAAGGAACCATGCAATGGTGAATGAACGGGGTCAAAGGACTTGTCAACCATGGCCAATACATTCAATAACAACCCACAGGAAAACACAACATCATCCAAACCAGCTGCTTCAAACCAGCTGGGTGTGAGAGCACGCTGGTCACGATCGTGCATGGATTTGGCTTGTGGACGCATCTGAGCAGGTGACCATCTCATCCAACCAGGCCATCCCATCAGAACCAACACGTTGTTCTCAGGTCGTACACCTGGTTCTGACCTTGTCCTGAAGATCCCTGAAGGGTGAGAACGGTTTTCACCGAGCACCCGAAAAAGCAGAAGGGAAAGACTCACGGATTCTCAAGTGCTCTTCAAAACTAGTTTGTTATCCTTCCTGGATGATGACTTGCCATACATCTTGGCTCCAAAATTCCCAGGGTAGTCTCCAACTAGTCTATGTCCTTTGAGGCCCACTATCTTCCCCCCCTACGAACGGAGCAAGGACGCTACGTTCGGGGCTCCTGGCATGTTTTGGCCAACTATCTTCCCCCCCTTTTAGATTCCTTTGCTTGTAGTAACAAGTGCCACGCTACTAGTAACAGGTGCCTTACTAGTAGTAACAAGAAGCTACTAGAAACAATAAGCTTCTAGTAACAGGTGCCACGCTAGTAGT